TCTGAAATGATGTAAAAGGGAACCTTTACAAGGTAAAGTACCTTCCAGCATTGTCACAACTTACCAGCTGCGGTTAAACTCGGCTGGCAGTTGATGAGCTCATTGTCCTTTCGGATGCGAGTTTGCCGAATATGCTTGTGCGTCTTCCGACGGTAACAGTCACATCTATATCACGCCAACTATTGCTCACGCTCGTACAGGGCTCAGTGATGTAGAAGGATGAAAACAGTAGCACCACAGGCATTTCTACGCTATTCGCTGCCCAACAAGTTGTATCCAAGAGAAGTGTTGTCCTTATACCAAGTCGTATAATTACTTCATTCGACCCCTTTATTGAAAGTCAGCCGCCCTAATCGCTTCTCTTGTTATGTCATCTCACATCACTCTGTCGTATAAAGTAGCATAAAAAGTAACGCGAAGCCGAGGTGCATGGAAACCTTGTCGAACTGAGCTAGAATACTCAGAAGCCTTGACTATCGCGGAGCTAAACTGACTGGTGTGAAATGTTCTCGCCTTGTCGTTCGAGCAGTCTTTATCGGTTTTACGGGTTCCAAGCTGTCTTTTCTGGAAACCTATTTACTCAATCCGAAGTGGTCACCAACCGGTTGGCTATTCTGGTATTCTGCATTAAGAAGACCGAGTGCGGTGATCGGATATGGAAGAAGTATATGCCAACTGCACGCCTCGCGCTCGCCCTGTCCAAGAGCGGAACTGGAACCAAGAAGGTTTCAAGTTTGGGTCCAGCACCGCAAACGTCCGGCTGATTTGGGATGGGCACATCTTTTGATGACCAAAATTGTTAGGTTCATTTCTGCCGGATACGGACAAGGAGGAAACGAATGGAAGATGGTGTTGCGTCGCTGTTGGGAATGCAGGTTTCAACAATGACTCTGCGGGATTTCTGGACAGAGAACTTCAAGCTCCTTCGGATCAAAAAAAACCAGGATTGGCTGGATTCAACGACCAACCAGCAGTAACCCAACAACCGGATTCTCGTACAAGCAGCAGTTACAAAATGGCAAATAAATCGTTGGAATATTTCGTCAACAAAATCACCAT